CCAGGATGCTCAGGCCAGCTCCCTTTGTAGAAGCGAAACATAGCAACAACATAATTATTTTTCAGAAGGAAAATAGATCAATAGTATTGGCTGAAAAAAATTATGCTAGCCATACGATTTTTAAAAAGGAAATTGCTAAAAAAATAAGAGTATTAAAGTATTTAAAGTTGTAGAACATATATTAAATGTAAAAAAGCATTTATATACAAACTTTAAATCTAGAAAATAGCATTACATATATCATTTATATAGATATCCATACTTTATGAAATATAAAATTATGCAGATATGTAATATATACCAACTTCAGCAAAATGATTGCATTTGAGAAGGAAGGGAGGATAAAAGGATAGAAGCTTTAGCTGATGTCTAATATTCGATTCTTGGAGAGAGAGAACACAGATGCAAAGACGTCAGCTCGAACATCTTTATGATCATGAAAATGGACATTCTTTGTAACATTTTTATATTTCATAAAATCAAAACTACAATGGAAGATTCACAAATGAGCATATATCCTAACAAGAATAAAGACTGCCGTTTGTCAAGGAGAGAGGCAGGCTGAGGGTGTCCAATGTCGCAGAAGTGCATACATATAGAGTAGCTGCTGGTGTGCTTTGGGATCACTCGTGGAACAATTCAGATGTAACTATTTACCAGATGTAAACTTTTAAAAGACTCATTTCTCCTTTTAATGATTTGATTTTTTCATTAATAATGTGGAGATAATAAAGGAATCTACTTCACAGTATTCTGAGGCAATGTACTATCACCTATATAAAACAACTGTCACTGTACCTAGAATAAATGCTCTATTAATGTTGAAGGACACATAGTTTATTCATTCATCTAGATATTATTAAAATTTCAAGAATAAAAACATAATTAGCATAAAGATATAATGAGGGTAAATGGTAATTTAATAGTTAGAATTAGTTGAACGTACACTAGTCTCCAGCTACCTTACATAATTTACCTGACACCCTCCAAATAATCACACAGCGGTGACTCCAGCATTCTATGTAAGGAGACCAAGACTCTAAGAGGCTCAGTGTTTTGCCTAAATCTGAGGTCCAGATTAAAGTCCGTATCTGGCTGCTGCACTCTTTCACTTATAGTGATATTCACACTGGACTTGCAAAGGATATGACAGCTTAAACATATTTGAGAAGCATAATTCTACACTACATTGTCTTTATGAATACTAGTAGATGTTTGCTAAGGTTTGGAGGAAGGCCTACACAATTGGCCAGTCTACAACTTTGATGCCAGTATAATATATTGAGTATATAATACAAGTAAGATTAAAATTGCTCAACCTTAAGCTTATAGTTTAATTTTTTTTAATATAGATAAATTAGCTACCCAGATATATAAAGAAAATAATACAGGTTGAATATCTTTTAGCCTAAATGCTTGGGACCAGAAGTGTTTTGAATTTTGAATTTTTTCAAACTTTGGAATATTTGATATACAATGAGATTATCTTGGGTTTAGAACCCAAGTCTAAACATAAGATTCATTTATATTTCATATAATACTTATACACATGACCTGAAGGTAATTTATACAATGTTTTTAAAAATGTTTACATGAAGCAAAGTTTGTGTACATTGAACCATCAGAAAGGGGAGATGTCACTGTCTCAGCCACCTATGTGGACAACCTGTAGTTGTTTGGAATCACCATCATTCCTGACTCTGAATTTATATGCTAATGATAAGCAATCATTTTCTTACAGTTACTTACACATAAGTATTAGCAGTAAGAAATATGATATACCATTAATGCAAAAACTTAATGTGTCAGGGTAGAATTTTCCACTTGTGGCATCACTTCTCTGCTCAAAAAGCTTCAAGTTTTGGAGCATTTCAGATTTGGGGATTTTGTGTTAGTGATGCTCAACCTATACAAAAATGACTATTATACTTGAAAATCTTCACGTCTTCTGGTTTTTAAGTCATCTGGGAAGTTTATATGTGGCAGAAAATGCAGCTAACCACATCCCAGGGCAGAGGCCTCCTCCAGTGCTCACAATGGAGGCCACTGAAATGTTATGACCTTGTTCTGTCAGTGATGTGTTCCTTTCTTTGGGCTCACAGTGGCATAGAAAGACATGACCTAAGTCCGGGGAGTTGGGTCCTAATCAGAGAACTGCCAGTAACCAGGAGTAGGACCATGACACTTGGGACTCTCAGCTTCATTTCTCCAGGTCTGTTTTGAATCCTACAGCCCTTTATTCAGTTGAAATTTTAAGCAAATGTCAAATATGTAAATTCTAGCCTGAGAAGGGACTTTTGAGTACTCTCCCCAAATCCTCAGAGACATTTCAAGAAGCATTTTGGAACAACTCAGAGAAATCTTTGTAAAAATTAGTGGACAAGATGAATTCTAAGATTGAATTAATTATGGAGAAAATTGAGGGTCCCATTATATGATCACCAGGCTTGAATTCCAGATCCTCCAGTTACTAGCCAGTCTGATATTGACTAAATTACTTTATTCTACAAACAGTTTGCTAACCTTTAGGGTTATTGTGAATATTAAATAATGTAATTCATGTGAAGCACTTAGAAAATAACTTAGGACAAAAAGAAGACTATCAATAAAGTGATCTGTGATCAATTTACCACCACCGTCATCACCATCATCATTATTGTTATTATAAATGTAATCAAATGTATGAGAAAAATCTAGCAGTTGTCTGGCACAAGGGAGCTACCTATATGTATATGTGTGTGAGAGAGAGCCTGTGAGTAATTTTTTAGCCTCTGTCATTTTTTCTATTTTCCTGTCAAGATATCTACTCTCTATCAGGCACTAGAAATATAAAATGTTATTAGTTTGGATTAAAAGGTACAAGAAATGAAGTACCAATCTCAGAACACAGCCATGAAAAATATTTTCTGCAGATTAAAATGAGTATTGAACTAATATCATTTTTGTTAGAAACTTTCCTTCATCCCCAGAAGTTTAGTATTCCCTTTTCTGAAAATTTTAGTGGTTGAATCATTCCTGGCTACACAGGATATGAATTGATCATTAAAAGAAGCATCATGGTCGCTGCCTTGCAAAGATGATTCTAACAGCCTAGTTCCTTCAGAACTACTTGTATGTTGGCTGGCCCTGACTTTGCACAAGTTGGCCACTGAAGCAGAAAAATCACCGCCAGGGTTGTCAAATATTATTGGTGCAAGGTGCCTTTCTGTGTGCCTGGCTGAGCAGCTTCCAATGACATGTGATGTGGGTTTTCTCCCAAGGCTGTGGCATGCTGTGTGCAGCATTTCTAAGCTGAAAGACTAGTGCATGGCTGGGTATTCTTGGTAGGCCTCCAGGCATTTCACATTCATTTATAAAATGCCTTTTTTCTACTTCAAATTAATCTTATGTTCTTTCCAATCACCACTGTAATACTCTTTTGACTTTATATTCTGACAAGCTTGAAATAGCCATATAGGATTGAACTGAAGTATAAAAAACCAGAGTTATAACAGTCAGAAACAAATGGAAAACTGAAACCAAGTCTGCAGAGTTACCTCCACAGCTGTGTTAGTGCACAATTCAGGCCTTTTCTGGCTTTATGATTCTAAAGCATGTCTTTGTTTTGAATTAGGTTGCTGGCATTATGTTTGCAGAGCAGTTAATCCATCTCCAAAATCTGTAATGCTCCTGGTTATTCCGTGACTTTCACTTCAAATGAAACTTCAGTGTCTGGTTTTTGGGAGAGCTATTAAAAAAACAGAAGGAGAGTTATCACAAGTCTCTTATGGAACTCGTTAACTTATGGTAATTAATCTAAATAGGACATTTATTTGAATTCTTTTTTTTTTTTCTTTTTTTTTATTGTACTTTAGGTTCTGGGGTACATGTGCAGATCATGCAGGATTGTTGCACAGGTACACACATGGCAACGTGGTTTGCTGCCTCCATCCCCCCGTCACCTACATCTGGCATTTCTCCCCAGGTTATCCCTCCCCGACCTCCCCACATTTCCACTGTCCCTACCTTGGTGCCCCCCAACAAACAGTGTGTGATGCTCCCCTCCCTATGTCCATGTGTTCTCACTGTTTGACACCCACCTATGAGTGAGAACATGCAGTGTTTGATTCTGTTCTTGTGTCAGTTTGCTGAGAATGATGGTTTTTGACACAAATATTTCACTCTACTCTCTTGCTTGCACAGTTCTGATGAGAACTTCTGATGTAATTCTTTGTTTCTATATAGGTAAAGTGTTTCTTTTCTCTAGCTATTTTTAAAGTCTTTTCTTTGTTTTTCGGTAGTTTGAACATGATATGCTTAGGTGTAGTTTTGGTATTTATGAGTATTTGGTATTTATCCTGCTTGGTGTTCTTGGAGCTTCCCAGATTTGTGGTTTGTTATTTGCTATTAATTTTGAAAAATTCTCAGCCATTATTACTTCAAATATTTCTTCTCCTTCTTTTTCTCCTTTTGGTATTCCAATAATATGTATGTTATACTCTGAAATTGTCCCATAGTTCTTGGATATTCTGTTTCTTTTTTTTTTTCAGTCTTTACTGATTCCTTCCTTGGCTGTTTCCAACTTACTGATGAGCCTGTCAAAGGCATTCTTTGCTTGTTACGGTGTTGTTGATTTCTCGCAACTCCTTTTGAGTCTTTCTTAGAGTTTCTCTCTGTTTACATTAGCCATCCAGTCTTGCATGTTATCTACTTTCATTCACAGCCTACTTAGTATATTAATTGTGGTTATTTTAAATTCCACATCTGATAATTCCAAAACCTGTGTCATATCTGAATTTTGTTCTCATGCTTGTTTTGTCTCCTCAGACTTTGCTTTTGTTTAGCATACATTATAATTTTTTTTTTGTTTTAAACTGGACATGATCTGTCAAGTAATAGGAACTGAGCCAAAGAGGCTGCTAGCATGAGGTTTTATGTTAATCTGACCAGGAGTTGGGCTGTGCTTAACGTTTGCTGTCGCTGTAGGTATCTGAAGTCTTCATTTCTTGTAGTGTCTTTTTGTCTCCCTTGTTTCCTTTGGGCTTGTTTGGTTCCCCTGGATTATATGAAGAAAACATAGGAATTTTTCGGATCTCTTCCTCTAACAAACGATTTCTCTGGATTTCATCTTCTGGGACAAATTCTATTGGCTGCGTCAGCTTCTTAGGCCCAGTCCAACACTGCTCAGGTGAAAAATCAATAACTTTTGCCACATGGAGACTGGGACCTTTACCCTGTGCTGCGTGTTTTCCCTTGTCCTCGAGTAATGATGGGTTCTCAGCTGTGCCACTATCACCCACTGATGGAGCTGAGACCAGTGAGTGGGAAGCAAAGGGTTCACCTCTCATAAGTTGAAACTCTTCAAGACGTTTTTTCATTATCATCTCTTGGTAAAAACTTTCCAGGTTGTTCATGGGATCACCTTTGTTCTTCTTTTGGGGTTCATCTTGGTAATAAAGAGCCTTAAGGAAGGAGTGACGATCAGCTCCCTGAAATAAAGACTTTTCTATTTCCATTTCTCGCCGGGTCAGCTGTTTGCTCTTTGCAAATCTCTGTGGCAGGCAAAGAATGCGCTGACGCTCCGAGATCCTTTCTTCAATATCTTGAAGACGGTTCTGTATTGCTTCAGGAGTTGCCCTCAGTCTTGTTTTCTTTTCACCTGTAACATGGCTCTTCCAGATCAAGATTTCTGTTTCATTAAGCCCTAATTCCCTGAGAGAAGCAGTTTCCTGGTCCGTCTCGTGCAGTGTCTGGAACTGGGACAAAGTCATAGTCCCAGCTGCTTCCTTCCCAAAGGGCTTGTACATAGTACCAGGAGCAAAGCTCTCTTTCTTAGACATACATTCTTCAATAGAGAGAGAAGTATCAAGTTGATGCTGAAGGAGGCTTTTCAGCTGTCTCTCCCCTTCTGTTTCCAGCTCCTCCAGGACATGCTCATCACTCTTCACACAGCTGTTGACCCTCTTCATGTTTCCACAGGCCACTATCTGTCCATTTATTTGAATTCTATCTAAGCAAACCAAAGCAAACTTTCTCTTCCTAGATGTGCATTTTAATGCTCATTTATGTTCAAATATTATATATTTTTTAAGTTGTTAGTCACAATTTGTGTTGCTGGGTCACCCACTCATTTAACAAGCATGTATTTGGCACTTCTTTTGTGCCTGAATCTTAGAACTGAGAGATGACTGCAACTAGTTCCTGTCCTCAGAGAGTTTCTAGTCTGGTGGAGGAGAAGCTACACAAAGAAAGACTGAGTAACATGCATCAAAGCCCAATGGGAGTAACAAGTACCAGACATAGGGATATCAGAAGAGAATGGCATTAACTCATTCTGGGAGTTCAGGGAATACTTTTTGAAGAAAGTGATGTCTGAGCTGGATGAAAAGGAGTAAGATAGTGACAATCCATAATAGAAGCTCATGTTTGATAATTTGTTTCACAAGAGATTCCCAGTAATTGAAGTAGGGTATCTGAATGATTTGCATGGAGCTTTCTGTTTAGCACTTTCCTATTTTCACCTGTTCATTTTTTCCTCCCTCTTATAGAAACTCCCTGAGATACATAAATTGATACTTCTCTGATTTTTCAAGTTGGAGAACTGGCTCTCAGGGTACACTCAGTGACTATTAGTTAAATGAGATAACACAATCAATATTTATTTTTATTGAGTCCCTACTGCCTCTCTGTGCCTTAATTCTTTATTTGTAAAATTTGCATAATAGCCATATCTCTCTCCTATGATTATGGTAAGGATAAAATGAGAACTATATGTCATATAACATAGACTAGCATTGGCTCAAAATCAGGATTATATAAGCCAGTTATTATTACTAGTAATTTTCTAGATAACAAAGAATTGGTTTAGGGGTGAAGGGAATCTTCTTTACCCTCTTCTTAAGTTTCAATAATTTGAGTCTATAAAACAAACTGACAATAGACTGGTTAACAGGAAACAGGCATACAAAAGGATACTAGTTGTGATGACCAGTACAGACATGCCACACACTGTTTTAAGTACTGAACGTCAGCAGAGCAAAGTCAGGCTTTCATGCAGTTTAAACCACGGGGCCAGAGTGGAATGGCTGAGGAGGGAGGCAAATGAAACAAGTTGAAAGACTTGCTGGAGGAGAGAAAGGCACAGATTGCAGAAGGATTTGTAAGCCATGATGAGACTACAAAATTTTAAGAACAGAAGAGTCAGAAGGTTATTCAGATCATAGTGGCTTTGGGTCAGAATGTGTGTGTGAGGCAGTGGAGAGAAGAGGTCAAAATCTGGATATATTCTGAAGGTTTACTAGGCAGACTTCACTAATGGAGTAGATATATGGCATTCAAGAAAGAGAGATTCCAGAATTTTGGCCTAAGCAGAAAAATAGAAGCTTCCATTTCTTGAGATGGGAGAAGATTTATGAGAAAGAAAATTGGCTTCAACAAATGAAAATTTCCATTTTAGACATGTTAATAATAAATCAGTGAATATAATATGGTATTGCAAAAGACCAAGAAATTAACCTGGGTTAGGAAAGATGGATAGAGATTTTTTAAGAAGAATGAAAGAAAAATGTTACTAAGTCTTCAAGATCCAAGGTGAGAAGTGGGAGACAACAACCCTCATAAAAGAGAAATGCTGTTTGGATCTGAATCAGAAAGATCACACAGGATGATAATGAGAATTAACTGAACAGAAAAAGGGTTTCTAAGGCTAGCATGAACAGTTTGAACTCATTTACTAGTACCTTGGCAACAATTAAAATTTTCAAAACAAGTTGATTTGAGCTAAGTATCTTAGCATTTGCCACATTATACTGAGTTATCTATTTCTGTGTTTTGCTCTCCCACCAGACTATAAATTCTGCTATGTTTTATTCATCTTTCTACTGCTCCTGTGTAGCATGGTCCCTGGTACATGCTTGGCACTCAGTAGTTGCTTGTGGAAGTGAACTGCAAAAAACAGTGGCTTGTGCCCAAACAAGGACCCAAATTGAAATAATAGGATAAGCTCCATTAGTTCAAATTCAAACCATTCCCACATGCAAAGGATGCAAATTTGCTGAGACCCCATATCCAGGGCCCAAGATAGCTGTCTTAAGATGATAACAAGGGGTTACAGTCCCTCACATATCCCAAAAATAATTTTTAGTATCCTGCTACTACCTCATTTTGTCTCATACCAGAATTGAGGGCAACCATTCAATGTTTCTTTTTCTCTTACATTTAATTTGCTAAACTCCAAGTCAAATTGAACCCTGGTCTGCTTGAAGAAAATACAGTGATGTAGTTTCTCCTCCCCTGTGCAGGCTCATTTATCTATACTTTAATTCACTCAAAACTCAGAGGAAAAACACATCTGTATTGAAACATTTGTATGGCATTGATTGTTCCCATTGTGATTAGTCCAACAACTATGTAACAATGTTAGGGTGAGAATAATCTCTGTAGCTTGTTTTGTGTGGGCTAACACCCTAGTGAGATGGGAAAATAGCCTAAAAGTCTGTCTACTTTTCCCTGAGACTTGTCTTTTCAATAAGAGCTTATTTAGTATACATCTTGCTTGCTTTTAGTCACCGATATGTTTTGAAGATAGAACAAATTATCTTTTCTACTTGAAAACACAATTTATATTTATTGTAGTAAAACTATCCCAATAAAAATTTTTAAGATGTGGAGAATATATCTCCTTTTAGGTTGGTACAACCTGTTCAAATTTTGATACAATAAATCAAACTGAAGGTGTAGGATAGCAAATGTTTTTCTCCAGTTACACTTAATAACCAAAACTACATCATTCCAATATACCTGCCTCCATTTGATTTCTTGCTGTTTCCTATCTTCCCCCAATTACTTTGATCTCTCAAAACACCTCTCACACTTCCCTGTTTTACCCATCAAGCCAATACTCCCTCATTCCTGAAAAATTAGGCCCACCAGAGACCCATTAGTAGTACTGGAGTTCATGTAAATCATAATTTTCTAGATAACAAGAAGTTGGTTTAGGGGTGAAGGGAATTTTTCTTGCCCCCTTCTGAATGTTAGGTAATTTGAATCTATAAACCAAACTGACACTAGACAGATTCACAGGAAAAAAAGCATACAAATTTATGACATGCATGTGCACAGGGAGCTACACAAAATATGGGACTCAAAAAAGGGCCTAAGGTTTTTATATGATACAGAAAGAGAGCCTGCAGCTCCTGGGGGCTGTGGTGACAGGTTATGGAAGGGTAAAGGGAAGAAATGCACTGTGAACAAGGACTGTTGTTTCATTGTGCAGATAAAGCCTCTCAGGTAATAGCCCTCAGAAAGAAGAGATGGGAACCTGTGGTAGTATTTTCTCTGTCAGACCTTTAAAAGTGTCAAACCTGTCTTTAGCCTCTTTTCCTGTGAGTTAATCTTTCCTAGATTCAGATAAAAGGACCTCAGAGAAAGCATCTGTCTGCATCCCTTGTTTGCTTTATTAATACATAGATGTAAATTTATTTTACAAAAGGATAGATTTTCAGAGCCATGCTTGTGTCTGCAGACCCTCTGAATAGTCATATCGAAATATGCCAAAGAGGCACACTTTGGGGTGGCATGTTTTGGTTTCCCACAGCCCCCTCTTTGAAATTTATTTCCAGAAAGTTTTGTGTATTAAAATAGGATTGATAGCAGTGGAAAATTTAAGTTAGACATTTTGTGATAAGACACCAGCAAAGGGAAGAAAAACATAAATTGGAATAAGTAGAAAATGTCTCAATTTAGGAAGTGGTGTTTTAGGATTCCCATAGTTAGGTCACTACATGGTGTAAATAAACAGGTTTTTAATATGAGGCATCTCTAAGGAAACAAAAGAAAAACAAAAATTAATAATTGGAGCAGCGTATAAGCTAGTTCTGAGTCCAGCAGTTGAAAAGATTTCTAGATTTGGCCTCAAAACATCTTCAGTTGAAGTGGGGATAGGCAGTGACAATCTGACATATTTTAAGTTGTTACTGAGATTTCTCTGGAGTTTATCAAGTCAACCAGCTTCAGCTTTCAGGGCTTCAAGAAAAAGGCGCATTTAATTTCAGTGATTTCAAGTCAGGAAAAAAAAAGTGAAAATGTTAGTTGAGAGAGTTGCAGCCAGACATTAGAGGAAACTAAACAATTTCAGAATCCAGCCTAAATCATAGGTAAACAAAATCTCAAAAATAATGAACAGACCTAGAATCGAATAGCAGATACATTATGGTTTTCTTTTAAATCATAGTATTTCTCTCTCCTGTTCCCCACTTTTAACCAAAAATAATCACAGTAAAACTAATTTATTTGCAAAATAAATTTTAGGCTTATTATACTTTGCCTAATAATTTACATAAGTACAGCAAAATGATGATTAATCGTATAAGCTCATTTTCAATTTTACTTTGCTGGAACTTTTCACAAGGAATCTCAGATTAAGCTTTTGACAGCCTCTTGAGGCTGGGAAACCAATCCAAAGAGTCACCCTCAAATTGTGCCTGTAATACCTCTAAACTTGGGTGAATACTTCTCTTCTCAAAGTTCCCAAAAATATCTTCAAGTTTCAGGGCCTCTCAGGAAGTGTCAGTTTTTACCCACCTATAAAACAACCATGTTAATTATGTATCCAAGATATCAGGATAGATTTTCCAAGGGGTTTTAATTGGCTTCATAAAGTAAATTTTAATCCCTTAGAGCAGTCTGGTCACACGTGAAAATAGGACATCTCAGGCAATATATAGCTAATGTTTCCAATTGTGTCCTATTACAAAGAGAATAGATTCTTCTTGAATGTAAGAAAATAACTATATTGCTTTTGAAATAAAAACACAAATAGCTTCCACACTCTGGAGAGATCAGGTAAGTAGAAAAAAGAAGTTTCAATTCTGCACACAAAAGTACACCTTCCTATATTCCTAAAAACTATAGATAGCTAAAAGAAAAAAATTTAATGTGGAAAATGAAATATAAAATAAAAAGCCATATTTCAAACAAAAAAGT